ATATTCACAGTCAAACCTCGATTTTCATCCATAATCCGTTCCAGAAGGCTGTTCGAAAACCGAAACCACGCTCTTTTTTAAAAAAAAAACATGCTTATTGAACTTGACACGAGGAAGCTCACTTCCTCGTGTAAGGAAGGCGAGAGCAGTCAAATGGTGCATTTCAGTGTGCTCAGTTTGTTCGAGAACTGAATTTCGGTCGTAATCCGAGGCATAAAAAAATCGAAATTTTTGGTCGAAAACCTATTTGGTCGAGAACAAAGACGTTCGAAAAGCGAGAATTGATTTACATATATCACTAATATATTGTCCAATAAAATTGCAATATATGATTAGTTATTTATAAATACAAAATTACATGTATTTTGTACTATATAACAGGGTTCGTACGGGTCCATAAAGTACATAAAAATCAAAAAAAAAAAGTTGTAAAATGATGTACATAATTGTCCAACATTTTCAGGAAAAACTTCTAAAATCCATAAAAAAACCCATAAAAATGAACCTGTGGTGTTCATTTCATTTGTGTATGTCATTTTCTCCACCCTTCCAATTAATAGTTTTGTCGTAAAATGCGCCTGGCGCCGTTCCCCTCAAACCCCGCTGTCGAGCTACATGCCTTCGCCGTCTCCGATCAGTTCTGATGATGATCACATGATCATTTCGGGTCATTTCGGGTACCTGTATTTTCTGGAATTAGCTACTCATCGAAATTAACATCCTCAGCTAGTGACAGACAGACAAATATGCCGGGACAATGTCACTTTCAAGTGGTGTGGCTGGAACAGCCGGAATTCCGTGATTGGGTCGGTAAAGTTGCCGGCGATAATACGTCGGCCTACTGCCGAGTGTGCAAGAAGAGCATCTCCGTGAAAAGTTTGGGTGTGTCGGCGCTGAAGACTCACGCAAAAGGCTCAAAGCACATGAAAGGTATGTTACGTCGTCCATTTCATACAGGCCCATTTTCATTATAACATATGTAACTAGCGGGCGTAGTTGTCAGTAAATGAATTGATCGTAGTATTCTGTCCTGTGTTTTATACTGTCTGTGTAATTCATTGCTACAGTGAAACGGCAAAAAAATTTTCACAACGGGACTTTTCACGATAGAATTTTATCTCAGATGTAAACACACATACACAAAAAAA